TTAGGGTTTAAGGTTTAGGGCTTTTCACGTTTCTCGGAACTTTGAGATCAGGCTCAAGAGCACCACAGGTCTTCTCTCGTGTCGTCCATGTTCGACACAAGCCGCTCTACCTTGCACTCCCGCCCCCGCATACTTCTTCCCGATCCTTCACAAGTCCTTGCGAAACAAAGGTCAGATGATTCTTGGCTTCATTCCTTGCTCTGTCTCGTTGCTGTTAAGGATTTAAGCTTTCGTTTGTTGTCAACATTTCTTTCTAACCACCGCGCTGTGAGGCCGGCAGCTGTGCCCAGCGAAGCCATGGCACCCCGCCGAAGCCTCACAGTTCGACCACATGGCAGTAACATGGAGGCTTATAGCTGCCAACATTACTATATTCCTTAGGGCTCCTTGTTATGATTATAAGGTACCCAGCCCCTATATTATATGATCGTATGTTATAGACTAGTAGAGTATATTATTGAATATGGTCGCATATTATACTGTATTACGGTTTCTGGGTTCAGTCCTTAGGGTCCGGGGGTCAAAATTGAGGTTTCAGGGTTTGGGTTTTAGAGTTCAGAGTTTAGGGTCTGGGGAGAATGTCACTGCAGTTGCCGCGAGAAGGACGATGTGGATGGCGATGGTGATGATGAAGAGGAAGGTACAGATGCTGATGATAGTCGTGGGGGCTTGTGATGGCGAGAACGATGATGGTGGTGATGCCGATGATGATGGTCATCATCGTCGTCATTGCGCTTCGGCTGTGCGGTCTATGTTCAGGTCTATGCTACTGCCTCAGGGTTTTGGTATATCCGGATTAAGAGAAACAAGGCCATCAGCATACGGGAGCTACTTCACCGAATGGACAGGCGACTTACGAAGTTTTGCTTTCAGCACCTGTATTACGAGTAGATCTATTTAGAGTTACCTTGCCTATAACCCTACTTGCTCATTCACCCGGTCCGTTAAGTCTGCCCGTAGACCCGAACTCCAAGCGCAGGTTCCGGAGTCTTTAACGGGATTTCGTAAGGGTGTTCGGGCTATTGGTCGACAGCTCCATGATCTCATTCCCGGCACTCCATGGAACTCTAAGCAGCGCCCTTGTTCATCAGGAGTTCGGGTTCGAAGTCTGCAAAATCCGTCCTCAGGCGGGGGTAAACCCCAAACCCTAAAACCCTACAACCCTAAACCCTAAACCCGGCGCGCTCCCCAAGTCATGAATCCCTGGACCCCCCCCCCTAAAATCCAGAGTCTCCTATGCCGTAAGCTCTAAATCCTAAACCGTTTTAGGGTTTAGGGTTCACAGTAATATACGGGCATTAACAATTACCTATAATATTTTGCGGGCTCCTTATT